GAGTGGAGTGTAGTAATGTGGAGGAAGTAAAATGGCCCTTAAACCAAATTCTTTGTCCCAAGGAGCCCCACACAGAAGACTTATTCTGCTAAGCATCTCTTATCCTCACGTTCACTGTTGCAGGCATGCGTAAACCAACATTCACTGCGCGACACTACCCAGAAATGTGGACCACTTTCATAGCAATTGGCGAACCGAAGGATGTAGTAGGAAAGTTGGAAGGCTACGAAGTGCTGATGAAGAGTGGCGGTCTCGTGTCTGTACATCCGTGGGGATCAGTGGCCAACCTCTCTATTCTTGATTGGCACTATCGCATAAGTGGAATCGAGCCCCTATCAACCTACACAGTCACTGTGCGTGGACGTTTTACGTCTAACGAGTATAGTGCGATGGCAGACCCAGTGGAGTTCATGGGAGTGAATGAAGGTCAGTCTCTGTTCTACCTCCATCCACTCCAATGCTCTGCATCCATTGAAGGCTTCTTCCCATCTTCTCCACATCTGTAGCTCGCTCTGCTCCCCAAAATCTGAGGCTGGTTGCTCTCGACTCTCACAGGGTGCGCATGACGTGGGATCCACCACTCCAATCCTACGATTTCGTTACTGCCTACAGCGTTGGATTGATTATCGACGGGTATTTAATGACGCCATTTACTGTCGCCAAGAACAGATCATTTACGTACACGAGAATGGAGCCTGGACAAAAGCTTTCAGCATTCGTTCGTGCAACAAGTTTGTCTACAACACTAACTCAGCTTGAATTAGCGGGACGCAAATCTCGACTTGTGTCCATAAGAACACCACCCTCTTCGGGAGGTGAGTTACACCCCTACCTGTCATGACTTTCATCCACTCCATTTCATGCCGTAAGTGGTGGTGAGTGTTGCTGGTGGTGCGAAATGCAGTGTTTGGCAACCCACCTTTACGCATTCAATAGTAACAGATGCGAATTGACATGAAGAGAAATGGATGAGGTTAAGCAGGGTGTCCACACTCGGGGTAGGGAAAGTGGAGAGTGGAAGTGGAGTGGTAGAAGCACAGCTGCAAAGAAG